GTATATGTGCGTGGGGGGCACACACACACATGTGTAAACATGATGGCAGGTTATAGAAGAGGGCATTAGATTTGCTGGAGCAGGAGTTACAAGTGGTTGTAAACTGCTTGATGTGGGTGCTGGGAACTCAACTTGGGTCCTCTGCAAGAGACCATGTGTGTTCTTGGCCACTGAGCCATCTCTAGCCTCCAGTCCATTTTTTTTTTCTTCAAGACAGGATTTCCCTTTGTAGACCAGGCTGGCCTCGAATTCAGAGATCCACCTGCCTCTGCCTTGTGAATGCTGGGCTTAAAGGTGTACGCCACTACTGCCCAGCCATTTTTTTAAATATAAGCACTGGGGATCCGAACTCATGCTGCTCATGCTTGCATACAGGTACTTCACCAAGTGAGCCATCTCCCCAGCTCTAAAAGCTGCACTTGACTTAGCCAAACAGTCTGCAAAGAGGAGAAGAAACTGAGCTGCCGAGAGTTAAGATGAACTAAGCCAGGGGTGGAAGCTCACTCTCAGGACTTCAAGGCCGGAGAAGGGCGGTTAGCCTAATGAGTTCTAGGATGTGAGGGTGGGAGGGGGGATGGAGAGGAGGAGAGGAGAGAGACAGAATAGGAACGAGAATGAATGAACGAGCACGAGTGGATAGAAAGTGTGGGGACTTGACTCAGGCTGTCCCCACCCCTGCCCTGAACATGCTGTTCCGCAAGTGCTTAGGGACTATGTGACAGATTTCAGAGCCAAGCACAGAGCTAGGGATTTGAGAGTGTCTCCGAGGAGCAACCTGGGGGCTGAATAACAGGAGACACCCCTTGTAGAAGTGGAGCCCCGCTACCCTGCTCCAGCTTTCCCTGAGGAAAGATACATCCAAGTACTGCTAGGTTAAGGAGCCAGAAAAATACTGAAGTTGGATGTAGTAGCCCAGGTCTGTCGTCCCAGTTACTTAGGAGGTCAAGGCAGAAAATTCCTGAGTCCAGGCTTGTCTTGGCTACACAGTGATTCAAAGTCAGTCTGGGAAACTTAATAAGGGCCCTGTATCGAAATAAAAACTGGGGCTGGAGAGATGGCTCAGTGGTTAAGAGTACTGCCTGCTCTTCCAGAGATCCTGAGTTCAATTCCCAGCAACCTCATGGTGGCTCACAACCATCTGTAAAGAGGTCTGGTGCCCTCTTCTGGCCTGAAGGCGTACATGCAGACAGAATGCTGTATACATAATAAATAAATAAATCTTAAAAAACAAACAAACAAAATAAAAACTGAAAAAAGGCCGGAGGGGTAGCTCAGTGGCAGAGCACCTGCCTAGAATCCCCCAGTGAGGGGATGAGGGTATTGGTCAATGGTAGATCACCTATCTAGAATCCCTTAGTGAGGGGTTAGGGATGTGGCTCAGTGGTAGCGAGTGCTTGTCTGTATGCAGGAGGCCAAGTCCACTCCTTGTTGCAAATAAGAAAGCGGGTACAAGGGAACATGGAGGTCAGTGGTTTGATCCTGTGCTCTTGACTCTTTCTGAACAGCAACTGAAAACAGGAGGGCTGGTGGCACTGCTGACTACGAGCCTCCTTTGTAACCTGTGTTGGCAAAAACAAAGCTTAATCCACAGAGATGCAGACTCAAATCTTGGGCTCTATCACTGATCTCATGACCTTGAGCAAGTTAATCCCCGAGTTCTAAGTTCCTTCTTTGTAAAAGCTCTGTCACCGGGTTGTCATTCCCTGCGTCACACTAGGATATGTGTCATTTACATGTCTATATTTCTATATATAGAGAGACTAGATCCCCCTCCTGCCTAATTCCTATTAAGATACTGCATATCATTTAAAGCCCTTTATTCAGGTAGGCTTCCAGGCCGCCCTAGCCAGTCTTCCGGTTCCCCCTTTCTTTATTCAAAATCATACACATACATTTATACATACATGTGTGTGGGTATGCGCACATGAGTGCAGGTACCTGCAGAGGCCAGAAGAGGGCACTGGATCCCTTGGAGCTAGAGTTACTGGAGGCTGTGAGCCACCTGGCATGGGCGCTAAGAAGTGAACTGAGATCCTCTGCAAGAGCAGCAATCAGTCCTAACTGCTGAGCCATCTCCCCAGGCCTGGGCCTCCTTTCTTCTACCCTGCTGGACCATGTTTCCTTAACTCCAGCCCTTTCCTTCCCTGGACTGGGCTCTCAGTTAGGCAGAGGGAGAGGGAGGGACAGTCGGTCTCTATATCCCTTGGGTTCAGGGCACCCTGGCACCGAGTGAGTATTTCCAGTGTTATTCCCTTTCCCATGTTCTACCTTCTCCACTCCGAGGAGACATCAGGAGAGGGAGGGAGGGAGGGAGGAAGGGAGGAGGAGGAGGAGGAGGAGAGAGAGAGAGAGAGAGAGAGAGAAAGAGAGAGAGAAAGAGGAGAAAGCGAGAGGAAGTGACTAAGTCTGCTAGGAGGTGGAGGCAGGGGAGTGCTTGGGGAGGTTTAGGGTGATGTCATCATCTTGAGGACTGAAGTGGAATTGACAGAGGTGGAGGGGACATTCCAGGAAGAGATGAACGACATACAGGAGGGAAGAGGGGCGCGAGGGGCGCGAAAGCAGGCCACCCATGGGTGTTACTAGTTTATCTCCCCGTGGGGGTGGGGAGGGATAGGTAAAGACAAGCGTTCTGGATCCAGGTTCCTCAAAAGGCCTCGAATGTCACAGCGAGGACCTGGCCCAGTAGAAACAGTGATTGTTTCTTTTAAACAGGCAGTGAGATGTTCTGGGGATGCCCCGTTGCGGGGAGGTAGATGATAACAGGCATCTGGACCAACATGGTGGGGGAGAAGAATCAAGATCTACTACCTGCATGGTTCATGCTGTGAATAAGTGAACAGCTGTTTTTGCATGACCTGAACGACCCACCCCCCAGCAAGCAGTTCTTTGAAAAAGAAGTGGGCGGGGCCGTGCTATGTCCATTTCATGGAGGGACAAAGAGAGAGAGAGAGAGAGAGAGAGAGAGAGAGACAGAAAGGACGGCGACCTGGCCTGGGCCACTGGGGCTAATTCCAACACGAAGCCACGCCTGGGCTCAGAGTGCATAAGGGCGGCGGGTTGCCAGTCCTCAGACCCGGCTACACTCAGTGGTTTCTAGAGTCAGTGCCTGGAGACAAGGAGATGACCTTCGACCTCTCAGTCATCTTGCAAATGGTCACTTGGGCCTATCCTGGAAGGGAGGAGGGGTACCCGCCTTTCAAGGGGACAAGGTTTCCCTATGGTGAAGGAAGCCAATATGAGCTTGTCTCTGGGTCTTAATTTGAGACCTTCAACTTGGACCCTGGGAGGGGCCCGCAGATGAGGGATGCCCAAAAAGGCCAGTCCCTTCACCAAGTCACAGGGAACAGCCAGAGGCAGCCTTCCTCCCGTCTTTCTAAGGAGTGTCTGCCTTGAAGCCCTCTTTTTTCCAGCCTGTGAAAGAAAGGAGGAACCAGAGGGCTGTCAGAGGCTCCTGGGGCCAGAAGTTGGGACTCCATTCCCTCCAGCCTCTGGGTCCTAGGGATTGCCCGGGGGTGGGCAGAGGACAAGTGAGTGTAGGTAGGGATTAGAAGGCGCTGACAAAGAGAGGGGCTTTTTGCACTTGGGGGTGTGGGAGAGAGAGTGTTCAGAATCTGCACTGTTAGCTTTGTTTTCAAATGACCTGTTTAATGATTTACCTGGGGCCATCTAAGGAGCAAGGGGTTCTACCCTCAGACAAGGGAGGTGAAACCTTGGGTCCCCACAGAGAGAACAGCCTTCAGAGAAGAAAGTAAACAGATATAAAGCTACCTAGCTGGCTTCATCTTCCAAACAATAGCCCTGACCAAGCTCCAAAACGTTGAAGTCAAGTCCCTGAGCAAGAACTTTTAACAGGCTCTTTCCCCTGAGTTCAACCCCATAGGAGACAAGACAGCTTAGGAAGAAAGGAGGTGTGTGTGTGTGTGTGTGTGTGTGTGCGCGCTGTCAATTTAACTTAATCTTCACTTGTAAAGAATCCATTCCTGTACAAGAGAGGGAGGTTGAAACACCTTCGCCTCGACGGCTCCCCCTCCCAGACCCATCATAATGGTAAGCGAATGAGGTTTAAGTTAACCGTTGCTTGCTCTAATTTCCACTCCACATGGGGAAAAGGGCAATTAAAAAAAAAAGGTAACCCGACTCTAATCCAACAGGAGTTTATGAAGTCAAACGCACACCTAGCAATATGAAAAATACAAGATTTAAATTTTTTTTTTCTTTTTCTTCTTACCTCCCAAGGCCTTCCACTATTTTTTCCCCCCTGCAACATCCAAGACCAGCCTCCAGGAAGATCCATAAACACGCCTGCTCCTCCCCTTCCATGGTACAAAATCCCCCCTCCCTCCCACTTCGCTGGACCCCCAAAGAGAAAAGAAACCAGCGACCCTGGCCCTGCAGCCCCTCCCCCGCTGCTTGCACCTCCTCTCTCCCCTCGCAGGCACCTGGAGATAAACATCTACTAATGATTTTATGATCTTTTCTGTTCTGGGGTAGACGAGCTCAGCGCCATCCCTCCCCGCTTGCCAGTGGCTACAGGGGGGCCGGCCCAACCAGGAGGAGGAGAGTGGTGGTGGTGGATGGATGGGGGGATGGGGCATGTTTAGTTTGTTAATTTCCACCTCCGGATCCCCACACCTGTTTTTCATTCATTCATTCGTTTGTTCATTCATTCATTCATTCATTCACAGATGCATCAGAGGCCATTTGAGGAGGTTACTCAGGATCTCGGGGAAGGGACAGAGATGGGGGGGTAGGGTTGGGTGTTGGTGTCAGCAGTTGGGAGGCGCAGTGGGGTGGGGGGGGACCTGGGTGGAAGGGACCCCCAACTAGAGAGCACAGGGGTGGCTTTGTCCGATGCAGGAGGATGGCAGAGATCCCGGGGGGTGGGGGAGCGATGAAGTTGTTTTGCACTGCGTCCCCCCGGGGTGCGCCTCTTTGTCTGTCCCGGGGCGGGTACCATGCGCCCCCCCCCATCCCCTCGCCCCATACTCTCTTTCTCTCACCTGGTCTTGGAAGACAGGAAGGCAAGTTTGATGAGGCCGTAGGTGAAGAGCGGGATACTCTCCTTGGCGACGCTGGCAACTTGCAGCCGATGTTCCAGAATGTGCAGTTCCATCGTCTGTCCAGGGCTCCTCCACAGCGGATCATCCGCGGTGGCCCGAGTTGCGGGGAGGGGGGGGGGGGACGGGGACGAGCAGCGGCCCCCGCCCCCTGCGCGCCCCAAGCCTTGGGGCAACCGGCCCAGGGAAGGGGGCCCGGTGCTCGGTGCTGGACTGATTTGTACTCGATCCAGAAAAAAGGAAGCTTGGCAAGTTGCAAAAAAAGGAGGCCTGGGGAGGACCTGCGGGGTACAGCGAGCTACGGGGTGGACAAGCAAACAGCGCCCGGCGGAGCGCGGCGCCCGGCGCAGCAGCAGCTGGTGTTCGCTGTAACAAACAACTTGCCACTCAAACGCCGGGCCCGTGCTGCGCAGGCGCCAGCCGCGGGGCCACGCGATGCCTATCGGGATTTGTAGTCCATACTCGCGATTTTACGCCGCCCTTCCCCCTGGACTACTCCAGCTTGCTGATGTCAAGCCAGGGGGGCTGGGCTGCTGCGCCACGGTGCACCCGGAATGCAAGATTCGGGGTTCCGCAGGGACACAGAAGAACCCTTATGGGACACATTTGGAGCCGTCCTAAACTTAGGTGCATGCTCTGTCGTCGCTCAAACCCAGGATTAGGCGCTTTCTCTGGGGTGTCAAGCGAGCAACCCCTTTCCTCCACAAACAACTCCAGCGTTGGAGAAGGCCTGAGCCTGCCAGGGGAGAGATTTAGAGGAATCGGTGACTGTCGTGCAGCGAAGCCAAAGCAAAAGACAAGGCTTGAGTTAGATAGAGAAGGGTGCTGGGTCCTTGTGGAAGGGTGCTGAGGACTGAATGAGAGCGGGGGGGGGGGGGGCGAGCTCGGCTCAGAGAGAGAGCTGCGCGGCCTTCCAGGCAGAAGGAACACCGTGTCCAAACGCATGGAAGCGTGAAAGCCCCCCCCCCCCCCCCCCCCCCCCGGTACTGTGTTTGGCTTTGTTGCTGCGGAAAATGTGAGGGAGGAGAGAGATAAGGCAGGCACGGGAACCAGGACCCGGGGCTCCAGGATCATGGGTGCAAAGCTGCTGAAGTAACTGTGGATCTCGGGGAGGGGGGGGGAGAGTGCGGGGGAGGGGTGGGGAGCGGACCAGAATCTGAATGAGAGTCATCCCTTGTGTTTCTAACCCTAGGCTTGCATGCTGTGTGTGTGTGGGCGCTGTTCAGCTAATATGTACCCCCCACCCCCAGTCTTTCATGGCGGACTAGGTTTTGAAATCCTTTAGGTTAAAGTTACTGACTTGTGGTTTTGTCCTTTGGCAGAATGCTTGGGGAGGTGGGGGGATGTGGTGGGTCAATCTACCTGCGAGGTGGACAGGAAACTTTTTTTGGGAGGGGGATAGTCCTGCCTGCCTATCTCACATTCTCAGTCCCCTTCTATTAGATAGGGGCTCGTTATGCTTCTTCATACTGACAAGGGTGTGAAACCCAAAATCTTGAGTATGTCTCATAGCCTGTCCATCCCTCTATTGCTTTAATTTCACTAAGAATGGGCCATCGAGAAGATTCAGTGGATAAAGACTCTTGCTGCCAAGCCTGGTGACCTAAGGTAGATCTCCTGGATCCAGACCTTGAAAGGAGAGGACCGATTCCTGTAGTTTCTCCTCTGATCTCCTCCACGTGGGAACCGCACGCTCATGCGCACACGCACACGTAGTTTAAGTAATTAATTGCTCTATTTTTTTAAAAAAAAACTTTTTTAATATTTATTTATTTATTATGTATACAATATTCTGTCTGTGTGTATGCCTGCAGGCCAGAAGAGGGCACCAGACCTCATTACAGATGGTTGTGAGCCACCATGTGGTTGTCTGGGAATTGAACTCAGGACCTTTGGAAGATCAGGCAATGCTCTTAACCTCTGAGCCATCTCTCCAGCCCTTAATTACCCTATTTTTATTTTGTCTTTGAGACTGGGCCTCATTTCTCTCATATCATCCTTCAACTCTTTATGTGGTGGAGGATTACCCTGAACTTCAGACTTCAGTTCTGCTTGCCTCTGTCTCCTGAGTGCTGGGATTACAGGTGTGTAGTGCCACATCTGGCTTATGCGATGGTGTGGATGGAGCCCAGGGCTCCATACATACTAGGTACACTCTCTCAAGTGAGGAATCCAAGCCTTTGTTTTCTTTACTTTTAACTAAAAATTTTTTTAAATTACATTATTTTGTGTATATGGGTGCTTTGCCTGTTTGTATGTGTGTATGTCATAAGCATGCTTAGTGACCAGGGAGTCCAGAAGAGAGTGTCAGACCCTCTGGGACTGGAGTTACAGATGGTTGTGAACTGCTCTGTGGGTTCTGGGAACTGAACCCCGGGTTCTCTGGATGAGCAGCCATTGTTCTTAACCACGGAGCCATCTCCCCAGTCCCTTACTTAGTCTAGGTAGTATTTGTTTTTATTTATGTCTCTGTGTGTGTATGTTGTGTCTATACTGTGAGTATGTGTGCCCCAGGAGACCAGAAGCGGGTATTGAATCCCACGGGGCTGGAATTACAGGTAGTCATGAGGCACTTGACATGGTTTCTGAGAACAGAACTCAGGTTCTCTCTTAAACACCAAGGCAGCTCTCCAGCCCTCATTTTTGTTTTCTCAGTTTTTGGAGACTGGGTTTCCTTGTAGCTCAGGTTAGCCCAGAATTCTTGATTTTCATGCTCCTACCTCTCAAGTTCTTGGAGTGAAGGAATGCCTCACCACACTTAATAGACCACTCAAGAGACTAGGTTTCAAGCTGGGCTGGTAGCTCAGTGGTAGAGCACTTGCCCAGCAGTTACAAGACCCTGAGTTTGATCCCCAGCACTGTAAACAGATCAAATAAGATATTGGTCATGATGACCACATTTGTATTCCAGTGCTTGGAAGTCAAGGCGGGAGGATTGTTGTTAGTGGGAGGCCAGCCTGGGCTACGTAGTGAATTCATGGCAGACTTTGGCTCCATAGTGAGGGTCTGTGAGTGAGGCAACCCAGACCCAGAGAGACAAATATAGTACGTATTCACTCATAAATGGCTTCTAGACATAAAGAAAAAAAATCAGCCTATAATCCACAACCCCAGACAACCTAGACAACAAAGAGGACCCTAAGAGAGACATGCATGGATCTACATAGGAAGGACACAAAGACAAGATCTCCTGAGTAAATTGGGAGCGTGGGGGTCATGGGAGGGGGAGGAAGGGAGAGGAACGGAGAAAAATGTATAGCTCAATAAAAACAATAAAAAAGGAAAAACCAAAACTAACAACTAAAAGAATCTGTCTTCTCTAAAAATCTCTGTTCCATAAAGGCAATGATTTTGGGAGCTGGTAGATGGCTCAGCAGGTAAAGGCGCTTGCTGCCAAGCCTTATGACCTGAGTTCCCTGAGTTCAATCCCCAAGACCCACTCGGTGGAAAGAGATAACCAACTCCCTAAGCTGTCCTTTGGCTTCCATATGTATTCTCTCTCTCTCTCTCTCTCTCTCTCTCTCCCCCCCCCTCCTTTTCCTCTTTAAGTAAACATAATAAAAAATTAAATGGCTTTTGACTGTTCTCTGCTGTATTTTCACTGTTAGCAACAGCTGGTATGTGAGGGACAGCCACTCATTCAGTGTCTAAGGAATGCATACATGCATAAGTTTATGCATTTGCAATGGACTCTACAGACCTAGAAGGCCCAGATAGAAATGTATTCAGGAGGCCAACTTGGTGGTACATATTTATAACCCTAGCACCTGGGAGGCAGAGGATCAGGAGTTCAAGGTCATCCTTAGCTACATAAAGAGTTCAAGGCTAGCCTGGGCTACATTGTGAACTACCTCTTTCCCTCCCCCCAAATGCATTCAGATCCCTAAATGGCAATGGTTAGAGTGAGGGTTAAGGTAGTTGAGTGGCTGGGTGATGGTGGTGCACCCCTTTAATTCCAGCACTCAGGAGGCAGAGGCAGGTGGACCTCTGTGAGTTCGAGGCCAGCCTGGTCTACAGAGTGAGTTCCAGGACAACTAGGGCTATTACACAGAGAAGCCCTGTCTCAAGAAACAAAAGCAAAAAACAACAACCAATAAAGATAATTGAGTATCAACCAGTCAGAACTGCACTTGAGGAAAGGAATTGTGCCTGAGGTACAGCATCTGCAAACAGCTAACACGTGACAAAGCAAAACAAACAAGGCTCCTGATCACGATCTGGCCAGTTTTCTGGCTTCTGCTCCCAGTGGGCCAAATCAAGATTTTCCAATCTTCAGGCTGTGACCTGAAAGTGGATGGTGAAATCAATTTTTCAGAACATGACTAGCATAAAAACCCACTGAGACTCCAGAAGGGCACAGAGACATGCGCATGGTGAGGAGAGGGAGGTTGCTCTGCCACCAGAATTTATGATTTAGTCATGTGGGTCTAACGTGTGCACAGTCATGTGACATAAAGGTTTCGTTTGTGTGGTGGGGGCTGGGGATTAAGTGCAGAACATCCTACTGAGTGATGCCCTCCACCCCAGCCCCTCCCTATTAGGTTCTAGTTAAGTGTTCTACTGCTGAACCATGGTTCAAGGTAAGCTCTCTACAATTGAGACACGTTTCAATTCCCCTCACTGGGGGATTCTAGGCAGGGGCTCTACCACTGAGCCACACCCCAGCCCCTCACTGGGGGATTCTAGGCAGGTGCTCCACCACTGAGCCACATCCCAGCCCCTCACTGGGGATTCTAGGCAGGTGCTCCACCACTGAGCCACACCCCAGCCCCCTTATGGGGAGGAGGGGATTCTTGGTAGGTTCTTGAACACACTGAATTATACTCCCCAGCCCCTCACACTGGAAGATTGAGAACATCCACTGAGCTGCATCCCCAACCCTTGCCTTTTTGAGACAGGATCTCTCGCATAGTTTATCGCCATGGGCAACGGACACAATAGCTCAACATTATTTTAATTCCTTTACATTTAAAATCTGACGCACTGGAAAATATGCCAACACGTGCGGGAGAAATTGGTCAATTGTTCTGTTTCCCCTGAGAGTAAGATGGTTTGCCAGGATGGGAGGCTTTCAGTTTAAAAAGCACAGGCCATTCTCTGTTCAACCAAGATCAAGGCACTCACATCACTTGGAAATAATTTAGTTATGCAAAGCCATAAAAAAATCTACATTCATCCCTGGTAGATTTGATTGAAGTGGAGAAGTTCTGTGAGTGCAAAATGCACTGGGTGTTCAAAGACTCCACATGGGAAATATGGAAGTTATTTCACAAATATTTTCTTAAATTTTGATTACACGTTGAAATGTCAGTTGAACCCAGAATTCACCACTACAATATGGCTGGCCCACCCCTACAATATCA